TGGCACAGGGAACGCCGCAGCAGCCAGTTCCGGCCCCGGTGGCCCACCCTGGCTCGTGCTGAGCGCAGTGCTGATGCCTGGAGCATTTGCTCACTGTGCAGCCATTTGAGGGCCCCGGACTCTTGTCCTGAGGCCAGCCTTGCTCCCCCATTGCGTGCATTTACCCACTCGCCACCACGATCTTGGTAGCCCTGCTGGAAAGAGGGCAATGCAGTGAAGTCCATGAATCCCGCGTCTCCCTTGAGGCCAGTGTTTTGTTTTCATAGCTATCTGCAACTGATACTGGGAAAAGGAAACAACTGCGAGGAATAATTCTACGTAATTCAAGTATTGTGGAATCCTTTGGCAGTCAAAAAACGACTACAGTTCCCAGCATCCCCAGCACCCCAGAATGACTACAGCACCCATCATCCCCAGCTGGGATGGCCCTGCAGACTGGGGAGGCTGCTTTAAAGGATTCTGGCAGCAGCATGAGCGAGCCATTCTGTTCTTAACTGCAGTCGTGGGGTGGAAGAGCATGTTCCGACTTGCATCCTCTCTCCCCACCAGTGCCCTCCCCAGTGACGGTAGAGAGAGGCAAAATCAGAGATCCCAGATTGGGGAACAGCCGCGTGACCTGTAAAATAGCCGTATTTTGTTGCTGAAACAAAGATGTGAAAGGATGCACATTTGACCAGAACACAGGGGGATTTTAACCCTTTCCCCACTGATAGTTTTCTGATCATTGTCACACACACCCAGCTGAGCTGCCCCTTCCTGGCAGGGATCCAGAAGCACAGTTGCTGTTTCCAGTGCACACCTGATATCCCGTGGGTTGAGTGGGGTGGACTGAAGTTCTGTGTACTTTTGCCTAACTAGGTACAGCATTGAATTCTCCCATGCCGCTGCCTCCTGTGTTTTCAGCTGCTCATGCGTGCCAGTCAGGCGTAATGCTCTTCTTTCTAGGGCTCTGCATGTCCACCAGCCTTGTGCTGATCTGTTGCTTTTAATAGATCCACCCACACAGTGACACGATAAAAATTTAACCGGCGCTGTTCCTGCTGTCTGGATGAGCTGCAATTGCGTGCTAAAGTGCTTCCACACGGCCTGGACTGACTGGCCCGGCCCCCTGCTGCAGCTTCTGCTGCTGGGGAAGCAGGATCCGGCTCGTCACTGGATGAAAGAGTCTGGATGCATCACCTGATCAGTGCCTTCCTCATGTAGCTACACCTTGGACAGGTGCATGAGCCATCACGGAGCAGGTGTACGGCAAGGAATTTCCAGAGAGTATTCTTGGCTTATGTGGCTGAGAACAGCCTGAGTCTCAGTCATGATGCATCATGATCTGAGCGTTCGGCACAAGGTGGAAAATCATGTGCCTCTAACTCCACAGAAAACTCAGAAGGAGAACTAAGGCAGGGGCTGGACCTGATGCTGAGAGAGCGCCAGCCTGCAGTGCCTTCTGTTTGTGCACCCCACACCCATCCCCATTGGGTTAATAGCAGCTTCTCGCCTGCTTTCACCCCAGAGCTGAAATCCTGCAGCTTCCAGCTCTGCTCTGGTGCATCTTTTTCCATAACTTTAAAGAGAAAATACAGATTACAGCCTGCCAGATTTTGTTTTTAAATGAGAAGCAAGCTTGGGAGGCTACCATTTTGAGTAGAAAAGCAGCAGCAAGAGGGGGAAATTTTGCTGCTCAAAATTTGCTTTTCTTCCCACAGTGTTCCTGTTGCATGGTTACTCTGTAGAAGGTGCATTTGGGCCAGGGCCGCCTTAACAGCATGATGGGCCCCGGGCAAAGCAGTGCACTGGGGCCCCTACGACAACTACAACTACTGTTAGTTTTGGAAGTTTTCCAATTTTCCAAGGGTTAACATGCACAGATTAGTATGGGGCCCACGGGCAAGTGCCATCAGGCCCATGCGTTAAGACGGGCCTGATTTGGGCTCCTGAGAGGCAGTTAGAGTGATTTGAGAGAATGTTAATGTTAATATCAGAAAGACTGTCAAAGGGTTAAGAATCTCTTGCCTTCCATTGTTGCTTCATTCCAAATTGTGGTCTTCCATGTTTGCTTTCGATAAATGAATGTTTGAGCTTTATTGTGCATGCTCACGTGCAAATGTCACCTGCCCCTCACTTCCCTTGGAAAACAATAGGGCATCTTAGGTATCTAGTCCATGTATTTCAGTCCAGACCAGCTGAGTAGGGCTGGGCAATCTTGTAGCCTTCAAATTCATTGCAATTCTCCAAAATTCTTCCTTGAAGACTAATTTACCATTGTATTTGAACATCCTCTCTCTCTCTCTCTCTCTCTCTCTCTCTCTCTCTCTCTCTCTCTCTGGAATCAGGAATAACAACAACAACAAATGGGAACGTGTGCAGTTTTAAAAGTGTGCCATTTTTTCCTATGGAAAATACAGGGAAATTGCATAGGGAAAAATGGCAATTTCAGTTTTGAAATGCACATTTTCCCCTATAGGCTAAAGTGTGGAAATACAGAACGGATGAGGGACAATTTTCAGAAAGGCTCTTTTCACAGGTGTGCACCTTCAAGTGCAAGTGCAGCTTTGGGAAATTATGGAAATGGTGCAGCTGCTCATATGTGGGGTGTTGAAAGGGACGTGTTGGGCTGATGCCGCTGTGCTTCGCGTCTGATGGAGCTGGCAGGGTAGCAGGCAGAACAAGTGCTCAGTAGGCGACTGAGAGCGCCAGCGAGAGCAGCAGTGGGCCGTGTGCACACTTGGCAGCGCGGAGCCATGCCATGCCACGTGCAAGACGATCTCCCCGCCACAATTGGTGTGGCGGCTGCCCCTCCCACCCCCACGCAGAGCTGCCCATGGGCCCAGGTGACCCAGCTGCATCTTAAACGAGAGCAACAGTGCTCGCACTGTTTAGAAAGGAATGGTCTACTTATTTGAATCCATTTGGCAGGATAAAATGTTCCAGCATAGAGGGCTTTTGTTCAGGACTCTGTTCTGTTCACCAGCTCCTCTGTTTTTCTGTCTTCCATCCTACCTTTCCAACCAGCAGGCTGCATTCTGAGGCTACCAATCATGCTTGGTTCTCCCTGGGTCATTCATGCCCTGGCTTTTCTCCCTAAGTATTCTTCTACTTAGGATTTCTGAACACTGGAAAAACCACGCCAGTCAGATCAGACCAGTAGTCCATCTGGTCCAGCACCCCATTTGTGCAGTGGCAAACCAGTTGCCACAGAATCCTTCAGGCAGGATGGGCTTGAGCGCTCCATCTGCCTAAGCTCCCCGGGAACTGATGTATGCTGGCATACCACCTCTCCTAACAGAGGTAGCCTGTGGCCCGCAAGGCAAGTAGCCATTGATACCCTCCTCTTCCTCCTCCGTGAATTTGTACAACCCCCATTTAAAGCCATCCAAGTTGGTGGCCATCACTACTTCCCGTGGCAATGAATCCCATAATGCAACTGTGCACTGTGTAAAGCACATTTCCTTTTATCTGCCCTGAATCTCCCACCAATCAGTGTCACTGGGATAACCCAGGGTCCAAGTATTGTGGGGGAAGGAGAAGATGTCCATTTTGGGTACGAAAGAACCAGAGCTTGACGATTTGGATTCACTCTTTGTATATATGATAATATCACGATATGTGTTAGTACATGAAAGACACATCCCAAGAAATATAGGCTCCAGGGTGATGGACATGATGTACAGGCATTGCATGAAAGGGCCACCCTTCTTCCTAACCTGTCTGTTGTTATCACACATTTAACCTGTCCTTCCGCCAAGGAGATCAGGCTGGTATGCAACAATCTTTTGTGGAAAGTTATGCTAAGAAGTAGTGTCTGGTGCCCAAATTCTCCCTGAAGCTTCACAAGACTTTAAACCCAGTTCCTCCTGTTCAAAGTGCAGCTCTCTGTCCAACCTCACTGCACTGGCTTTGGGAACAGCCTTTCAGTGAGGGAGGTGAGAATTGTGAAATGTGAGCAGCAGGGCTTCCTTGGTTGTGGCCCCAGAAACATTGCACGGAGGCACTGCTGGGTTTCTAGCAATTATTCATTCTAGTGTCTTGTTATACTATTTTTATTGTAAGAAACTTTAAAAAATCATGCTCACAGTTTGAAATCTCAATTATAACTGATATTTCAAATAGTTTTAATGAGAGGTTTGACTCCCACTGCTTTCTTGCTTGCCTTAATGAGTTGTTTTTCTGAAGCCTCTGTATTTGATTGAGTTCAACATTATGTCAAGTACGTATAATAGATAAGCATCACAAAAAGAAATATGTGTACATATCGTGCTGTGTAGTTGGTGGCCTGTGAAGGTGAAACCAAAACCAGCTTTAAAACCAAAATAATAAGATAGCCTCTAGCTTTGCATGATGCACCTCCTATTTTCATTATGAAAGGCAAATGTCTATTTTTGCAGGAAGGAACAGAATCAAATTAAAAATGGCCCCCAGCAATGACCCATGCCATGAATATTTTCTGTGCATGGTTAAACATCTCACATGAAATGCTTGCTCTTTTTTATTGCATATGTACTTGGGTCTGTGCACCTCCTCCAGCTTCCCTATGCCTGTCATTTACAGCAGGAGTGGTCGACACATGAAACCCCCTCACACAGTTACACCACCAAATCTGGCAGCAGGAAACACCCCCTACCCAGTCTCTCTCTCTCTCTCTCTCTTACACACACACACACACACACACACACACACACACACACACACACAGGGAGAGAGAGGGAGAGAGTTTTAGTGCCCATAGCACTAAAGAAGTCAGATTCAGCCTGAAGACAAGCTAATTTTCACTCCTGGTACACTACAGAGTGGTTTGCTGCTGATTTTCCCCCTGGTGCTCCATGGACTGTGCAGCATCCTCGTGGGCAGGGGAAGGGGGAACTTGGCTCTCAGGCCCCCCACAGTTGCCCACCCCAGACTTACAGAGTTGTAGAAGATGCAGGTCAAATGCAGATCAGGAAGCATCATGTTACCTTTTCCAGTAGAGAGTCATTCGCCCTCTTTCTCTTGTGTGTGATTCATTACAGATGGGCTACACTCCATTACACGTTGGCTGCCACTATGGGAACATTAAGATCGTGAATTTCCTCTTGCAGCAGTTTGCAAAGGCTAATGCCAAAACGAAGGTGAGTGCCCTCCACCCTGTCGTGCTCCTCCCTGCGACGCTCCCGGCCTGTTCCTGACATTCCTTCTCGCCTTCCTTCTCCCCCGTCCAGAACGGCTACACCCCGTTGCACCAAGCGGCTCAGCAGGGCCACACGCACATTATCAACGTCCTGCTCCAGAACGGCGCATCACCCAATGAACTTACTGTGGTAAGAGAGAGGCCAGAGGCCAAGATAATGGTTGGCAGCGGGTTTGCTAGCCCTCATACCCCTTGCCTACTGCTGCTTCGCTTTGACCGAATATATGGGTTTCTCAGGGATCCCAGGAGAAGAAAAAGGCAGGTGTGGAATGAGGGTGTGCAGTGAGGCCTGCATCTCCTGTGCCTGCACACTCGCAGACACACTGGGATAACACAGAATCCGTGCCAGCAGGAACGGAACATCCACTGAGCAACAAGCATTGAAGGGGGCATTGACCCTTTCTTCCTCCAAGAAGGGCTCTCCCAATGCATCCCACTTAGCTGTCTGCAGGTCTCGCTTCTCCCTATACCCAAGAAAAGCAGCCTTTAGCGAGTCACTCCTGAACTCCCACTCTGTGTCAACATCATATATCATGTTTCTGAGTCTTCCTGTCCTGGATTTCTTCTCTATATTTGGCCCTCGATAGAAGTTTGTTGTCTGGTGGAAGTAAGGACAGAAGTATATTACAAACCCAAACCAATTTAGCCATCATGTTACCTTCCCAGGAAACACTAGCAAGTGTACTTCCATGCAGAGGCATGGAAAGGAGTTCTCAGCTCACTCACTCAACCACCACAGCCTGGATCCTTCATGCAGAAAATCAAGATCGACGAGGTGGTATAAAACAAATGTAACACTGAAGGGTAGACAGCCTCTGGAGAGCTCTGCCTTTCCATGTTTCCTGCTCTGCCTTCTGCATCCTGTTAAGAATTGCCTCTAGATTTTCCCTTATCTTGCAATTGGCTCTGCAGTTTGCAGTTTGCCAGCTGTTGAGTTTCTTGTCCATAGTAGTTACAAATTAAGCAATGGCCACTTCAAAAGTCTGTGTTTGCATTTCAGTAAAACTGAACAATGGACACTTCGCCTTGGGCAAGTGGAAGCAAGATATGGGATTTCCATTGCCTCTAATGTAAACATTACAATATCAATGGCTTGCACTGGTCAGTTGAGTGTTAGCAAGCTGTCTCTTTAGCTGTAGATCCTGTTGTGTTAATCTTTCTGATGAACTTTTCCATTGTCTAGAATGGGAATACTGCCCTTGCCATTGCCAAACGACTTGGCTACATTTCTGTTGTTGACACACTAAAGGTAGTGACAGAAGAGACCATGACGACAATTGTAAGTATAGCTATATTTCAACAGTCTGTGCAACAGCAAGGGTTTTTTTCTCTTTGTCAGAGATATATTTGACTCAGTATAATCAGAAAATGCAATCAGAGCTCAATCTAGAACATGGTTGAGCAACTTGATTTCCAAGTCCTGAAACTCCCTCTTGTTATTTTTGTAAGAAGATAAAGTTTCACAAAATCATCCTAAAAGAACAAAGCTTGAAAGAGGAGCGAGCTGCGACACTTTTTAATGAAATCATCCATGCTGGACAAGTTGACCCCCTATGCTTTAAGCAGCAGCATGTGCTACCTTGGATATTTAATACATTCTCCAATATGATTGTCATTTGGAGCCCAATCTATCAGTGCATGATTCATTAGGGCAGACAATAGGCTATTAAAAAGGAAGTCTAGGGGCAAAATGGCTACACCACCAATTCCTCACAGCAATAAATAAAACAATACTGATATACTGCTTCATATCAGTACATCTTCCCGTGTGAGCTGGTTTCCGCTGGCATGGAGGTGAGGGGGAATTGGCCAGGAAAAGGACCTTCTCTGTCGTCGCACCTCACCTTTGGCATTCCCGTCCAAAAGAGGTGTGACTGGCACCAAGTTAAGTCTGCTTAATTTAGTATCTGTTTTTAGATTGTGATTATTGGTTTATTATTGCTGGTTTAATGTTTGATTGTTTTGTTGGCTTGCTGTTTTAATGTGTATATGGTGTTTATCTTCCTGTTCTATTTATATGGTATTTTATTTTATTTTAGGATTTTGGCTATTGTCATCTATTTTTATCTGTATTTTCTATTTTTTATTTGTATTACTGTTATGATTGCACTGTGAGCCACCCAGAGAGCCTTCTGGCGCAAATGCAATGAATGAATAACCACAGATAAGAGAAACCAACACTGACTTTGGGGTGGGAGGGTTGTTCTTTTGTTCTCTGTTCTCCTCTCCCTCTCCCTCTTGCATGATTGTATTTTATCATGCCAACATGGCAATTTGTGGCAACATTACCACTGCAGACCACACCTTCTAGGATAAGAAAGGGCTTCTTAAAACCCTGCTGAAGGGAAACCCAAATTGAGGGGAAAAACAAACATGGTTTTCCTTCTCAAGAACTGGGTCATTTGTCCTGGACTGTTGCAAAGGTTGCTACAGAACGCTTTAAGCCCCGAATATTATCTGCGTAGCAGCGCATTTGCATTGGTGGTTGGTGTTTTCGTGTGAAACTGTATGCTGAAAATAGTGAAAAATACTGCCCATGGGATGGAAATTCTTCACAATAACGTTTCTTTCTGGGACAGGAGAGGACAAGCAGAACTGGGGCAGGGGCCAGATGACCAAGCCTTTGATGGGCCTAATGATGTCAGCACAATGTGGCCGCACCCCCTGATCTCAAAGGGGGGGGGGCTACACTCCCAGATGTCATTTAGTTATGGCAGAGGTGCTGAGAGGGTCCTCATCCTCTGAGCTTATCTGCTGGGAAATGTCATCACTATGCATTAATCGTTAACTAGCAGGGAAGAATTGTTTGCAACTACAAACTCAGCTTTGGCCATTTCCCCCACCTAGCAATTTCTCCAGTGCAGAGAAAGGCTTTGTCTGAGCATGACTCCATCTCTGACTGAAGATAACTGATTCAGTTGTCACAGATTGAAGATAGCTTCCTTGCATCAAAAGCCACAGCCCTCTCAATCATTGGCAGGACACGTTTTGAATAAATTCCTATGGAAACTGCTTAGAGGTTTTCCTTACTATTAAGCAGTACAGAAGTAGCACAGATAAATAAATGACAAGCACTATTATGGAAGTACTTTCTCATTGCAATACTGTTATTTGTTCTTATTTAAATAAGTGGCCGCCTGCTATTTAACATTCTTACTATTTTATGGTGTTTAAAAGCTCTTGCTGCTATTGGCTTTTACATTTTAAAGATCGTCTTCTAAAATTGCTGTACACAGCTTTGAAAACTTATAAGCATAAAAGTGAATTATCAGTTTCCAAAACAGACAAAATACGGATGACTTAAAGTGTTCCTAGAGCAAGGGAGGGCAACCTCTTGGTTGTGGGTCTAATCTATCTTGAAGCTTTGTATCCTGGTGGAATCCAGAAAGGTTAGTTTGCCTATCTTGGTAATGCCAAGTCTTTAAATGTGAAAGGTGTGTATAGTTTTTATTCATTTCTATGGCTCTTCAGACATGAGCTCTGATAGGGAAACCTTATTTCTTGGCTGGGGCTGCATCAATCAGACCATACTTGCTCCATCAGTCAGCCTGATGGACAGGATGGACTTTTAATAACTTTTTTCTGGAAAAATGCACAAAATGTACATTTATTTGTCCTATTATGTGTGTATTAGTATCAACTGCATGTACCATTTCCATAAAGAATGGATGTTGTATGTAGCCTTTTTGCTAAAAGAAGCGTGCAGTCCAAAAATAACTTTGTTTCTGCAGAATCTGAATTATGTTTTTTTCACTTCAAAATATAGATCAAGCAAAATGCTTCCCTTTTCCAACAGGTAGACTCAGTCCTCTGTCTAGATTATAATACTAACCTACCATCCAACATAGGTGTAAGTAGCACAGTAATTAAGCGAAGTGCTAGGAAAAAGTGTTTTACCAACATGGATCATTATTAGTTTTAGTCTGAAATGTTTCTTTGTCTTTAACAGACTGTCACAGAAAAGCATAAAATGAATGTACCAGAAACAATGAATGAAGTTTTAGACATGTCTGATGATGAAGGTAGGTATAACAGAGCTGTTCCCAAGGTGTCAGAGTGTGTTACAACATAACTGTATGTTAAACATGCCAGACAACTTAATTTTTGTGGATAAAATTACGAGAGACAGAACCCCCCTCTGTCCACTGGGCAGTATCCAGAGTGCCCTACGATTCTTTTGGAGCCTCTGTTCTGACCTTGGAAACTCACTCTGAGGTCAGAGCTGGAATTCCGAGCTTGGAATGCGTTCTGCACCTCACAGCCAGTGCAGAAGGAAGGGCTACTTCTCCAAGGTCACAAATATAACTGTGAGGAAGGACAATTCTGCGGGGCAGAGAGGGGAGGAAACAGGCACCCCCACAAGGCAAGGTATCCTGAGGGGCCTCAGCCTCCTCTCCTCTTTGGAAGCACCACACTTAGGCAGCCGAAATCAGCCATCAAAGCACTTTGCAGGGTGGCAGGCTTTGCCTTCGCACTTCCTCCAACCCACAAAAGTTGCCCAAAGTCCTCCGAGTCTGGAGGGCTGCAGGCATCCCGCCTGGTTTACGCTCTGTACTGCTTTGTTGAAATGAAATATTTTGTCCGGGTTTTTCATTGACTTCCTCTTTTGTTCACTTAAATTGTGCAGTTCGTAAAGCGAATGCCCCAGAAATTCTCAGTGATGGTGAATATATTTCAGATGTTGAAGAAGGTATTTCCGACTTAATTTGGGGGTGTTGCAGTGGGCTCCGCCCTTCCACATGTTCTTTCTCTATCCTAACGTGATGAATCAAAGCTGCATATACACTACCGTTTTAGGAAGCCGTTGCATGCTGGGGAAGATGCATCTCTTCCCATTCTTCATGTTTTGCTAGCCCTTATCAGCCACTCTAGCACCCACAGGATAGGGGCGGGGGAGCAGCGTGAGGCGGTTGCTGCCTTCATCCTGCCCCCGTCTCCTCCCTGCTCCCACGCGCCACCGACTCATCCCTGCTTCCACACACCACCCTGCCTCGGAGGGCAGAGGCTGTCCCGGGTAGCCTGTCCCAGGAGCATAGGCTCCCTGTGTGATTCTGAACCCTGATCTTCTCACCACAAGCCTTCATCGGCCAACTTGTGCACAGCAGTGGGGCTGGGACAGAGGGAGCAGAGCCAGTGTCTCCTTGCTGTTCTCTCATGTGATTCTGATCGTAAGGGCTAGCTGCCTTATTCACCCACCTAGCCTATGTAGCCCACTGTTCTAGACACTGGCTGGCAGCAACTCTGCAAGCAGGTTTCAGGCCGGAGCTTTTCCAACCCTACCTAGAAATGCCAGGGGTCAAACCTGGGACTTCCTTCCAAATCGGTGCTCTTCCTCTAAACCACGGCTCTGCCCCTAGAGCGTACCCGATCTTTCTATGGCAACAGGAAAACAAGCGTTGCCCTGGCTTAGCAGTGTCAGGTCCAGAAAGGCCCCCCTTACCTTTGCAAAGATGCAAGGACTTCACCGGGGCATGTTCTCACAAGAGTTTGCTTTCAAGAGGAAAGCCTCACCTGGTGAAATTCTCCTTTCTGTCAATACACAAAGTGCAGGGCCCTTCTTGAGGTGAAGCCCCTTCCTATGAAGGACTGCTGCTTATTTCTTCCACTGCAGCCAGGCTGACTCGAGCTGGGAACAGACCGGCGATAAAGAGTGGTCCTTATCCAGCACTGTTGCCTCAGACTGGCAACAGTTGCACAGGGTCTTCGGGGTGGCCGTCAAGGGTGCCCCTTTCCTCTCAGTGGCTTCCTGAGACCCTGTTACCTGGAGATGCCAAACCCTGAACCCAAGAGCTCTTGCATGTGCAGCGTGTGCTTTACCAAGAGAGCAGATGGTGTGTTACACCATCTTCAGTAACTTACTCCAGACAGGTCGCTGTACTTTTTCAGTGAGTGCAGCAAAAATAACTACACTGGGACTGTAGACTTACTTCGGTGTAAAGCAGCAATCGTACCTGGTCGTGTGTATGCAGCTGCCTTCTTTTTCACTAACATTCCTTATTAAGTGTCCTACCAATAACGACCAATCAACATTATTCTTCTCATAATTACTGTGATTCTGTCCAGATTGCTTTCTTTCATCACTAAATCGACTTTAACTTGCTTGGGGTCTTCTCCTATGCTTCTGCTGCTTTGTGTAAAAATAAAGTGTTTGTATATTATAACAGATGAAAATCGTACATACTGAAGGGATCGTGGAAGAAAACTGGATATGTGAACGGTCTTGTTTTAATATGCAGTATCTGTCTTCACTGTGTGCCAACTTCAGGAATTACTGATTCAAAGGCTGGTCTTACAGGTTCGAAAGCAAAACTGCTTTCATTGCTGGGGTTAAAAAGCAATAACAAAGAACAGGTCAGAGTTTGTGTGCTCAGTATGGCTCTGTTGGGAAGTACTTCTCTGTACAGTTCCTTGCCGTTGCTTGCTTAATTCACAATTTTGCTGCATGTGGTTGACGGTCCCCTTGAAAAGTACCTTGAGTCACACATGCCTGCAGTGTGATAGGCGTGGAAGTGAGGAGAGAGCAAGCTGAGTCGTAAATAAATCATCTTTGAATGTGAGGAATTTGTGGTTGGCTTAGGCCTGATGTTGCTTGGAAAGGAGCACTCCCCACACCCCCGTTTTATTTATCTATTTATTCATTCAGTTCAGTTCTGTACTGCCCAATAGCCAAAGCTCTCTGCGCGGTTCATAACAATTACTCAGAATGCAAAAAGATACAATAAAATACAAATGCAGTAAAACACAGTATAAAATTAAAATATACAAATTTAAAACGGTTTTAAAATTCCAATATAGAAAAATTTGAAACATTCTAACATCTAAGAGGATTTCAGTAAAACTACACCGAATTAAAACAACTGATACAGCCCATCCTATGCCATTAAGTGCCTGGGAATAGAGGGCAGTTTTGACCTGTCACTGAAAAGAGGGTAGTGTTGGTACCAGGCAGGCCCCAGTGGGAAACCATTCCACAACTGGGGGCTTCCTCCTCATCGTCTCTTTCTGGGCCTCCCTTGGAGGGGGCAGTCAGAGGAAGGCCTCAGATGCGGATTCTAAGCTTTGGGTACAGCAAGCCCGGGAGACTGTTGTATTCACAAGCTATGTGGGGCGTTGAAGATCAAAAGCAGCCTCTTGATTCGTGCTCAGAAGCACATCAGCAAAGGTGTTCAGACCCTCTGGTCCCAGTTACACATCTGGCCATCACACTTTGCACAAGTTGAAACTTCTGGCTTCTGCACTTATCCAATACCTGCTCAGCCTGTGTAGACACAAATCAGGTCATTACAGCTTCCAGTATTCTTTGCTCCAAAGAGGCCGCACACTGAATTTTTTCCTCTGAGCTTCCTCCTGCTCGATGAAGAGGGGATTCAAAACAGTATTCGCCATATGCCTGGCACTGGCTGCTTATTAAAGTGAATATTCTTTGTATATTTGAACTGCTGCACCAAATGCTATACCCATGAGTGATGGAGCCAGGAATGTTTGCTGCTACAAAATGACGGGGTGCAGAATTAAAAGGCTGTGCCTGCCCAGGGCATCAGCGCACAGGACCGAGCAAGGTTGGCCTTCCGAAGGGCGGTGCAGCCTCTGCTGCCTGTCTGCTTCCTCTGGGAGGGAGGGAGGATGTGGCCCACTTTGGCGGGGTCCCTTCCCGGCTGCCAGACCACTATTATGGGCAATGGCGCCCCATCTCCTTAAAGAGAAAAGAGGGCAGGCAACAACGGTGGCGGCGGCAGCTTATCCTTTTCCTCCTAGCAGACACATCTGTGCAAAGGGAGAAGGCAGGTGAGTGAGAAGGCCGCAGCTCATGCCCAGTGTCAGGCAGTCATTGGCTCACCTGCACAGGCAAATAATCGGGAATGGCGACAAGTAGTGGCACAAACCACTACTGCCACCTGCCCTTTCCCTTCCATGATGGAGGGGGAAGAGATGCTCCCTTTGTCAACAGTGTCGAACAGAGATGCCTTCACCGAAAGGCATCCTGCCAACCTGGAGGTGAGCCTGAGCCCACGCTGTGTCAGGAAGTGAACGCTGGGTTTCCCCCCGACGTGTCTCCCCGCAAGCAGAACAGACACGGCTGGCAAAGTGGCTCTCCCTCTCCTTCATACGCCTTCCCAAAACCCAAAGACTTGGAGAAGGAGGAAGTACAGAAGGGGAGCAAGCAAGAGGAGTTCTGATGAAGCAGCTTTGGATGGAAGCCTATCATTGTTACACAGGTAGCGTTCTTTCATACCCAGCAAGTTTTACAGACCATGTTTTCCTTCACCTGCCTGTGAGATCACTCAATTTTAATGTCAGGGAAAAGAAGCCGAAGAACCCGTGACCTGTTCCAGGTCACTGAGGCTGCATTTATTTGCAATTAGCAAACTCATCCTACCCTAAATGCATGCTGAGTCATTCAGTGTTGTCACTGGAAGATCCATCAGCAGTGTCTGCTGAAGTCCTTCCAAAGGAAGAAGAGGACAGTATGGGACTAGAATAGTTCCCAACCCATTAGGTTTCTCTGCTGGAGCAGAAACGCAAATCTCTTTGCTTGCAGCCATATTGCCACTGCAGAACTATCTGCAAAAATATATCTGAGATGGTTTCCCAGCAGAGCTGAGTTGAGATACGAAGATTCAGCTTTCTGATTCTGGCATAGTTTTGATGTTCACTACAATGTATGTGGCATGTTGGGTGGCCCATTAGGGACCTCTGTCCTAAACAAAAAAGTAAATGACATTGATAAATGTTTACAGAGCCCTTCAGTGGATATACCAAAACTCTATCTTGTAGTATCTACTAAAGGCCCATTTAAACAGACAAGAATTCTCCGATTCTATTCTGCACTGATTTTATTGATCTGGAAATCAAGCAGATCTGAAAAGATTCTTCCAAAACTCTAACCCTCTAGAAAGTATTCCAGAAGTTTGACACATTTACTTTAGAAACAGTGGCGAGAAAGGATTGCATTCCAGTAGGTAGCTTTGGCATAACAAGAATAAAGAACAAATTTTGAACCCAGGGAGCTTGAGAAATTTCCATAGGAAAATTGCCACTAATCTGCTGCCTGAGCAAGATTGCACAGAAACATTGGATGATTGTCCTTTGCAGCTTATGCTACTGACTCAATTTCTAATATCTAATCTGTGACTGTCATTACTTATGTAGTCCGAAGAAGTGTTAAACTGAGGGAATCCCTAGGACAGTGGAGTCTGTCCCCCTGACTTCACAAGGATCTTGCTGCAGAGGGGTTACAAATCCCACTATTCTCTTTTTGTGAGCACAGATTACTTGGTTTGGCTTGAGAGCTCACTTATTGGCAGCTGCCACGCCAAAGGTGTGCGTATGTGGGAGGAGGAGGTTTTTGGAGCCTCCCTGGGACAATGTTACGGTTGGGACGTCCCTGCGCGCTGCCCAGGTAAGGCTGCCAATCCGTAAATGGAAGCCTACACACTTGTGCTAGCTTTATTTTTTTTAAAAAAAAGCAAGTGTTAATTCTGCTCTCAGTAGGGGACCCCTGTTTCAAAGGGGTTCAGCACTGTCAACACCTGCTAAAACAGGGACCATGAAACCAATTGCTAAGCTGGCTTTCCTGATTTCCGGAAAGCTTGTGCTAAGCACCCTCGAATTCTGCTTGGGCAAATGGGGGGTGGCCTGCCCTGGTGGTGGCCAGGGCAAGCTTGACGTGGGCAACACACAGGTTTTTGC